TAAATAAATTTTTAAAATCTTTTTAATAAATAAATAAAAATACATAATAACTATGCCCATTTTCATTACCCATTAGGTTATTAGATTATATGGTTGAGTCAAGTTCAGAACTATGACAGTTATGAGTTCATTATTGCTTAGTAATATAACTCCGGCTCGAAACATTACTTCTGCCCAGAATCAGTGATCCCAGCCGGCATTGGCATATATTCGTTCACTCATTTAACCAATTATTTTATGAGCTTCTTCTCTGGGCCAGGCACTGTAGCAGGGACTGAGGTTGCACTAGTGAGCATGTAGTCTTGGTTGCTGTGGGGCTCAGTCTTTAAAACAATACCCTGTCAAGAGCCACCCTGCATACCTCTGCAGCAGATACTGCTCATCAATCACAGCACCCTTTCCTGCCAAGCCCCTAGGCTGCTTGAGGATGTTTCTCAACCTGCCACTCATGAGAATGCTACCAGTTAAGGGTAGAACCTAAGATGAAACTAATTGGCCATCCAGATGCTAATGAAACTACACTGAATCACCGGTGGTTCCCCCAAAATACTACTGTCTTGGTTCACATCATTTTCTGTTTCTGTCCCTTTCACCAACCCCTCCTCCCCCTCTATGAATGTCCAGATCAACTCTTCTGAAGATACAGCTCAAATGCTGTACCTTGAAGTCTCCCTAGTTCTCTTTCACGTAAGATATTCTTCTTCTGAATCTCTGTATTTCTTCCCCCTTTTTATGTTAACTAATAAAGTGCATGCCTTGTTTCCCACATATACATCTTAAGAAATACGCCTTTTGCCTTTATCCATTATACAGCTTTGCATACACATACACACGCAAATCATATGCTTGCTAAGCACAGGTTCAATTAATTATGACAGAAGTTGGGATTCAAGCTCACTTGAAAAAAGGTTCACTGTATACCTATATTTCACAGGGGTATATCATTTCTACTGTTCTGGTTATCAGGTTGCATTGCAATGCAATGAAAGATACTGTATGCAGAATTTGCGTATATATGCATAGGTACATTTTTCCAGGGAAAGGAGTCCTAGCTTCTACCAGATTCTCAAAAGAAGTTATAAGAATAAAATGTATGTGCAGCAACTGACTGACGCTGACAGATGTTCATATGTTTGTTCTCACACATCAAAATGGCATGTTGGGAATGAGAAAGA